TAGGCATGTCCCATTATGCTGTCTCTGTGACTCCTAAAAGCCATTTACTCACCAAGCTGGACTTGCCTCCCTCATTCTTTGGTCTATCCATGCCTCCCCAACTGCAGAGGTTTCTTTTACGTCTTCCTAGGACATTCACAGTGAATGGTACCATTCCTCCATACATTTCCTCAAGTTGCCAGAGCTCTTTCCCACAACACTCTGGCAACCTGGCAGGTTCTCCAGCAACAGAGATCTAAACCAGTCACCAGCAAGCAGCAAGCCTGCACTGGGAGCCAGGCTGTCTAAAAGTCTGGCTCCTGGCTCTCCCTTCCTCATGCTAAACTGTGTAGCCTTGGGTAACAACAATAAGCCACCGACTTCCTCATCTGTGCAACAGGGACAATAAGAGCATCTACCTCTGTGATTTGTCATAAGCATCTTAACAGTTAACACATGTTAAGTACCTAAAAGGCAGTGGCTCATGAAATACTCAAATATTAGCTATTAGCTTACAATTCACTATCCAACTGGAAAGGAAAAACTGCCACTGTGATTTTCCTGCATAGAGCCAGGAGAGCCCCAAGGTGGGGGCATTCAGTGAACTGATGCCCACTCAACTCGGAGCCAGCCATCTCCCATAGCCTCCCAACCTGAGTGCTCTGCGGACTATACCTCAGTCACCAGCACCGAGGGCTTTCCACTATGTGACCACCAGGCATCCATGATCCACACCAGGAGCCCACTGGTTCCCTACCTTTACCCTACTCTTACATCCGACTCATCTTACTCCTGGAATACAACCCTATCCTCCCTCTCCTTACCTCTATTACTCCAAGGATTGAAACCCCACATCCCTTCCAAATCCTGCCAGCTCAGATAAGTCAGTGGCTTTTATGTTTACTATAGCTTCTACCTTTTCTACGAAGTGGAGCGCCTGTTAGCTTTTGTAAACTTCGAAACACTTTCTCCCACTAGTGTAATGTGTGCTGCCTACTGTAATTACACACCAGTGTCCAGAAGTATCCTGCAGAGTGGATGCCCCAACATTCACTAAATTAAGCTGCAGTGTGGTCTCAGTTATCTCAGACTCTAGTTCAGTAAGTAAAACTTCAAAGATATGAACTTTTAATTCCGAATACAGTAATCCTTAGCTCTAACATGACTTTCCAAATCTTTGGACAAAAGGAAGCCTCCTGAGATTTGGAAAGGATTTGCTTTGACATTGAAATGCTAACTTTACAGACAAAACAGTTTAATGATTAAACACGACAAAACTCAAATGTTTAATAATATGATAGTCTACCAGCTTCCTATCCTGTGCATGTTGAGAAGCTCTGGGAGTAAGGCACTATTTAAGGAATCTTTGAAAATGAAAATGAATATATGTAGTTATGACATTATGTCACATCTGGGATTACCTGGACATACATAAATGTTTTCAACATGCTGTCCTGACCCTGATAGCTAAATCCTTAATATTCCTAAGAAAACACAACAAAAAATACTACTAGCCCCACAGTTTTAATAATTCTACCATAGTATCAAGTATAATTTCTAACTTTAAAATATTTGTGAAGATAATTGTATTGTAACATTGACCTAAGAGATTCAAAGTCAGTGTCTGTTAGTTCTAGATGTTAACTCCTATTTAGCTATCCATCTTTACACATAATGCATCAAGTACACTGGCACACACCTGTAATCCCTAATGACTTGTGAGGTGAAGGATCTCAAGTTGAGACCAAACTGGCAAGTCTCAAGACCCTGTCTCAAAATAAGAAGGGCAGGAGATACTCTCCAGTGGCAGAACGCCCCAAGTTCAATCCTCAGGATCACACACAGGCATGCACATATACATACACACACTAAAAACTGCTTGTTTCAGATATGTCTGGACTTTTGGTTTTTGTGACATGGTAAAAGAAATCTTACTATCTTAAAATAATTGTTTTTACAAAGCAACACATTCATAATTTTTAAAATATATTTTATTATTAACCTACTTAGACAGTAATTACAAAAGCTTTAAATAGTCACTCCAAGTAGTGAAAGGCAACTTCCTTGAAAAAAAAAAAAAAAAGACAAAAAAAATCCATTATATGTTTTGCTGCTTTATACACAGGAATGATCTTACATACCAGTCACTTGTAACAATCACCTATAAAAGTAAAAAACATTTCTGTGTCTGGAAGGCAGAGTGAATTCCATGATGTTTTCATATTAACCAGTATGAGGAAGCAGAAGAAACTTAAGACTATGGCAACAGTGCAAAATGAAATTTACACAACAGGCACTCAAGTCAGCTATTGTGCAACTTTCACATTAAATATTACTTGTATGCATCTCCTCTCATCAAAGGTTATCAGCCAGGGAAGCCATTGTTCCTTTGATGTAGACGCAAAAACAAGTTTATGATCCAAAAACACTGTTCTCGTTATAATACATGCAAGACAGACCCTAAATAAAAAAAGTCTTCTGAAAGAAAATGAGAAAAAAAATAAATAAAAAGCAGCCAGGAATGAAGCATTTACAAGCACTGCATAAGGCCTTTAGGTGTCAGATAGGTGTTTTAAACCCCTTCGTTCTCAGGTAGGGGATTAAGAGGCCGAGAGAGGTATCGTCTGCGAGGGTGAGGATACTGGAGGCCGGCAGTGTCAGCATCGCAAGAGTGCTCTAGCGGAGGAGGAGGAGGAGGAGGAGGAAGGAGCTGGGTATAACTGGACCATCGCGATCCAGCCCGTGGGGAGTCCAGAGGGGGAAAGAAATACCTGAAACAATGAAGACAGGAACAAAACACCAAAACAAACAAAAATAACGGGGGGAAAAAAACAGAAGAAAAAGAGAAAAGTAGTAAATACAAAGAGAACCAAAGAGGAGAAAACACATGCTGGAAAAAAAGCTTTAGTATATTCATGCCAAAACTAACAGAACATAATAGCACAAATCAAGACCCTTACTCAAATCAAGATTGCTTAAGCAAATATAGAAATTTGAAAGAAAGAAATACAATCTGTTAAACTCAAAATGTCAAAAAAAATTATCAGTATGAATGTTACAAAGAAAGACTTCCATTTTCTAAATCTGAAACACCGTCCAATCTTTCCACAAGTGAGTCTGGTTACAGATCACCAGCAGTGGGCTTCTCCCTCAGCACACACCTGATGCCAAGGCCACGCACTCTACCAGCACAGCTGCCGTGCGCTCAGGAACACACTCATTCCTCTGCAAGAACCCTGGAATCACTGCAGGACTGTAATAAGTAAAAGGCTCAAAGAATCCATTTGCACTACTTTCATTGTTCTGCCATCTAATAACTTACCCAGAATAGCACGCATGTTAGAAAATGTGAAGATTTATGGCTTTGTCAAGAGTCAGAACTTTATAGAGAATAGGAATTCATCCACACAGCAAGTTAAAGAAAATCGCAAGCTCAGTGGTGGAATGCTAAATTATTTTGCATGCACACATTTGGTAAAACTGTAGCTGTTTCTTTCATGTTTCCAAATTTGTTTTGATAGAAACTTTTAGTTGTGGAATCACACCATAAGTATACATGCACATATTAGAAACATTTATCTCTTTAGTGAATATGAATTGAAAACTCACAAAGGTGTTTCCATTTTCCTTTACCAAATTATAAATGAAAACAATGCCAAAGGTTCCACTTGGCTACAAACTACTTTTATATTACTAGTACTATTTCACTAATTCACCCCTTTAGTATTATTTTTTAAATATTACAAAGAAATGACAAAGCTGTATAGAATATCATATATAAAGCAACTCTACAAAAGATAAACAAATTAGCACTCAAAACAATCTTTATGAAAAATATTTATTCAATATTCAAATTAAAATTATAAAAATTCATCATTTTGGCTTATTGTCTTAGAAAACAAAAGAAATATACTTCTGTTCTTCAAATAGAATAAAGTGATAGTTTACCTCCACCCAACTACTTTATAAGGACAGTAACAATCCTTTTAATTTTTAAACCCATTAGTTTCATGAACATTTCAAAAAATTGTTTTGGTGACTGTCTCTCAACAAAAAGCCTCTCCGTTTGTATTGAAGTTTCAAATACTGTCAGTAAGCTGACTAGTACAAATAAGTGGTCTCCACTGTTTTGGTAAAGGCCTTTGGACTGCGTTTGGTAGTGAGCAGGCTGCTGGTGTATCTCGGGAGAGTCAAACGGCGCTGGGGAGGGGAAAGGAGCTCACTTTCCATTCCTGTGTGCATGCAACAAGCAGCAAGCAGCAAAGTTATCCATTAGCTTGTGCTCAGCTGTGCTTTCTGTTAAAGGACATAATACAAATGGAGAAGGGAAAATGCATCACAGTTCGAACACAGAGGTTATCAGCACAACAAGAATACAGATCAAAACATCACAGCTATGAACAAAAGCAAATACATGGTACGGGAAGCACCAGAAACCAAATTTGAAAAATTAATCCTCGTATTTATTGCTCCATGAAATTATCTGTATGACCTGCTATCCTGTCTGGCAACCTGAAATTGTTTTAATGCATACAAATACTTAAAGCTTCAAAATCAAATAGTTAAGACATCTTTATAAAACTTTAACAATATAAAAATAGTTGAAGCTTCAAATATAATTTTCTTCCACTGAGGAAGACAAATAAACACAGGAAGGTTTATGGATGGTTTTGAAGTTTCCTGAATTCTTCCAACTTATTCCAAAAACATATTAATAATCTTAGCTTACAAAATTGCACATCTGAAACCTAAATATAAACACAAAAGGATTTACGTTACATGTTTCTTTATTATGAAAAACAAGAATCTAACATGCTCAGTATTCCAAAAATCAAGATTTCAGATTTTATCATTTCTTCTTATAATCTCTATTAATGGTTTTTTTTTTTTTCTTTTTTTTTTTCAGACAGTCTTGCTGTGTAGCGCAGGCTGGCCTTGAACTCATTTATGTAACCCAGGCTGACCTCAAACTCACAGTGATCCTCCTGCTTCAGCCTTTCTGAGTGCCAGAATTACAGGCATGTGCCACCACAGTGACTTTCCACTACAGTTCTAAACACAAAACCCAAACTGTTTATCTCACTTCTCTTCTACAAAGCATTAATTAATATATTTTATTTAAAATTCCAGTTTGACCTGATACAAAGCCACATTGTGAGCACTAAAAACCTTAATGCTCCTCTAGGACAAAACCCTCTTAAACCATATTTTCCATTTCTATCACTGCTGCCAAAGCAAAGCAGAACCTTAAAGCAAGGAACATTTTTTACTGGCCACTACATTTCAGAACCTTTAAGTTCCACAATCTACCAGTAAAAACTATCAGAGCTTTTAAGACGAAGTTTTAAATTCTAGTGTCAAAATTATATACAACCTTTTCACTCCATCTTAAAATTCAAATAGTATGCCTTTAATGTGACTACCAGAATCAGCTAAAAAGATCATTTCTAGGTTACCACAAACAGCCTACCTGCCAGCAGAAGATCCATTTAACGAGCTGTGAAGGTTTGGAATGTTTGAACCTAGGGAAGGACTTGAGTTTCCCTGCTGAGAGCTCCCACTGACTGGGCTCCCATTACCTTTCAGAATCCCAGTGCACTTCCAATTGTCCATGTAATTAGCTGAAAGGCAAACCAAATACATAAACGTGACTGCCCCTACATACAGCAGCACAAAATCTACCTCGTCCTACAGCTACAAGGGAAGAAACAGGTCCTGGGCTACAACTTCGTTCCAAGTAAACATGACAGACAATTTTTAAGTGAACTACACACTACTTCAATTTGACACTTTTTAAAAAAGCTTTCAGAAGATTAACTTTTAAAATATAAAGTTTTCACCACCCATTTCCCTCCTTTATAAAATAAATAGTAGTAAAGACAGTTCTCTAATCCAACACTTTATCACATTATGAAGTTAATATCAAAACGTCTGTCTTTACTATGATACATTTGCATAAGAATAAAGTTTTCCTCTTCCTTATGAAAGCATAATCTGTGTGGGTGCGTTCCTTGGACACAAAGTAGGTAGTAAAACCCTCTGAGTGGGGGCTGAAAGGTTTATCCAGTATACTTCAGTCAGTGACCCCTGTGAATCCATGTTAGGGAGCTGCTGAGTGTAGAAGGGCAGTTCTCAGATGAGCCTTAGTAAGGACTGCCCAGCTGCAGAAAAACAGCAAAACCATTAAAACAAAATTGTGTTAAGGAAAGGAAGGACTGAGCTGCTTCCAAAACAGCCTACTCCTGAACACAGGAAGCCTGCAGCTAGGGAACAAGGACTACTCAGGTTACACAGACAAACAGCTGTAACTCCTCAAGGTGTGTGTGAACACCACCACTCTGGGGGTGCACAACAAGCACAGAAGCCTGAACCCAACAGACAAACAGCCCAGGAAGGTGCGATTCACGCACTCACTGTATGCACTTCCTGCTCAGCACAGCACTGAGGAAATGAGCACGCAGGCTTCCTGGCTTTGGAGTTCGGAGCAGAAGCCAGCACTGACTCCTGGTCAGAGGGAGCAGCTGCAGTCACACAGTCAAAGTGAAGTGGCGCCATCTCATGGAACTGCTGCACACTGCCACAACTGCCTTAGTTTTTGTTTTTAGGAGCTATTCTGCTTCCGTCGGTAAATGTGTATTAAACCCAGAGGCATTCAAACCCTCAGCTTTTCCTTTTTTACTTGGAGATAAGGTCTCCCTAACTTTCAAGCCTCCTTCCTCAACCTCCTGAACACTTGGGATTACAGGCATGCACCCCACACAATTACAGTTACACGTTTTACAAGTTGTTTCACTCCACATAGAAACTTAAAAAACAATTCAACTAGTCATTAACTGTAATGATCTAGGTAAACTTATGGTCAAATTATAAACATGACATTGATTGATTTAAAATAATTAAAAAATTTTTTCAAGAGCTTATAGAGATTTTGTTGTTGTTGTTGTTGTTATTTTTTGTTGTTGTTTTTTGTGGAACCGGGAATTGAATTCAGGCCCTTGCACTTGCCAGGCAAGTGTTTACTCTACTGAGCTATCTCCCCAGCCCCGTGGTTTTGTCTTTTTGAGACAGGTCTCACTATGCAGTTCTGGCTGGCCTTGCACTCATTTTTAAGTGAAACTTCTCAAATAGAAATAGAAAGCGCCCTACTTTAAGCTGGCGTGGTAGCACATACCTGTGGTCCCAGTACTCGAGAGGCTGAGGCAGGAGGATTGCCACAAGTTTGAGGCCAGGCCAAAATGCATAAATGAGTGCAAGGCCAGCTTGAACTACACAGTGAGACCCTCTTTCAAAACACTGCAGAAAGCACCTACCTTTCCACAATCTGACACAGCCATCATCTCCTGAAGATGCTAGCACTGTTCCTGTTATGTTCCAACTCACTCGCCAGACCTGGGAGTTGTGGTTATCAAATTGAGCCACAATATGGATTTCAAATTTTGTTGGCCCACCTGAGGAAGTAAGTTCTTTCCTATGAATTTAAAAAAAAAAAAAGTGAGGAATTCTAAGGAATAAGCAATACCAATGAGGAAAGTGGTGGAGCTCCAAGGTGGAGTTGTCTGTCCAGCGTAAATGATGTCCTGGGGGCCATCCCAGCACCAAGGGGAATGAAACAGAGATAGAAGAAAAAAAATATATATAAATGGTCTCAAGCAATCCACATCTGATCCCTGGGATCACAGTGACCCCAGTCCAGGAATGGCACTCAGTGACTACCTTAAGGACAAAATAGTGAGCAAGGAAGTTATTTGCCATTCAAGGCTCAGAATCAGAGAATTAATTTTAAAAGAACAGCAGCAGGAAGAACAGAAAAGAAAAATGGAAGCGAAAAAGAAACAAAACTCATAATTCAAAATTAAACAGATTACTCACAAGTATGTTCCAATGCTAATTTATTTTTCCTTAAGCAGACATTTTATAAGGTACCAATTATTTTCATAGAATCCAAATCACTGGTACTAGAGCTTCAATAAGCAATTAAGAAATTATATCAGTTTGGCACAAAGGCAATGCTGGGTGTAGTAGTGCATGCCTGTAATCCTAGCACTCCAGGAGGCTGAGTCAAGGGGACTACAAAATCAGCAGCATAGGCAACTTAGCAAGACCCTGCCTCAAAAATAAAGAGGGTTAGGGATGTTAGTCAGTAGCACAGAGGCCCTGGGCTCATCCCAAGTCCTCCCCCTGCCAAAGAGAGGGAGAAAACACACATTTCATCTTTTTACTCAGTTCCCCACTCCAAATGTCACAATTAAACATTGATCAAGGGATCCATTCTTCAGATCCATTACTTCGATTCTGTCTTCCACAAATAATAGGAGATAAGAATTTTTAAACATGCCACTTCTAAAACTCACCTCATGGGCTTTAATGTGAAAATTCTCACATCTTTGGTTGCAACTGCCAATGTATGGAAAGACCGTCCCAAGTTTGGCGCAAAAGCAATATCATGAACTGGGTCGGTGACTGTCAGGAGAGTCTCAGCTTTTGCATATTTCCTAATGAAAACAAGAACATTTTCCAAAGGTAACTGTTTGTAAAACCCCATCTATCAATGCATACCCCTCACTATTAGTAATGCTTACCTCTGTAGGGGCTAAATACTGGCCCCCCAAAAGGTGTATCCTACCTCACTAACCTGTGAACACTGCCTTTGTATACACAAAGCCCTAAACTGCAGCTGGCCCTGGACCCAGAGTTCAGTGTCTTTTTCTTTTTCTTCTTCTTTTTTTTTTGGTGGAACCGGAGATTGAACTCAGGCCCTTGCACTTGCCAGGGAAGCACTTATTCCACTAAGCCATCTCCCCAGCCCCGAGTTCAGTGTCTTGATCAAAGACAAAAAGAGGAGAAGCAGAGCCTGATGTGACACAGAAGCAGAGAACGGGACAATGTGGCCACAAGCCAAGGAACCATGGAGCCTGAAGGGGCACAGAAGGACTTCCCAAGAAGCGTAACTGTCAACACCTAGCTATCAGTCTTCTGATATCATTGAGTGAAACAAATTTTCACTGAGTCAAGCTACTTAGTTTGTAATCATTTGTTACAGCTGCAACTGAAAACTTTAATACCACTTCCCAGGCTTCCTGCACGGATAATGTAAGTTTAGCTTCAAACAGCTAACAAAAAAATAAGCCTTGATTAGCCACTGCTTCTAAGAAAAAGATTATGAATTGCCTACCTTTGAGTACAAAATTAAAAGGCTGACAATAGGAATTAAGGTTTGTTTTATTATTTGGGTGATTTTTTGCAACAGGGTCTCACTAGGTAGCCCAGGCTTGCCAGGAACCTGCAATCTTCCTGCCTGTTTTTTTTTTCAAGTGCTGAGATTCCAGATGTGTGCCACTATGCCTGGCCAGAAACTAAAATTTTAAAATACATCCTTTAATCTCACTTCTGTATCTATAAACAGCTAGTAAGAGGACAAAAAAGGAGATGGAATGCCTGAGTTTCCCACAAGGTTCCTAGATGTCTTTGTGTGATGGCTGAGACATGGCGCATCGACCCTTGTTCACCACAGGGGCAGAGATGTCTCCATCTGCCATTTGCTGGCTTAACCTTCCCATCCCAACATCCTCGCAGAACTCCCAAGCCAGTGAGTTTCAGGCCCTTCCCTGACTCCTCCTGTGTAAATGACCAGCTGACTGAGCAGCTTCCTACCCCAAATCTACAGAATCACAACCTGTTTTTATTATTTATTTTTTATTTTTTTGGTGGAACTGGGGATTGAACTCAGGTCCTCACGCTTGCCAGGGAAGCGTTTATTTCACTGAGCCATCTCCTCGGCCCCCACAATGTTTTAATAAATAACACCTTACACTTGGACCTGATCTGTAGCTGTAATGGTCAGTACACTGCATCAACATTAGGAGCTTAACCACGTAACTCAGCGGTTGCACATCCTGGGGTATAGGGGACATGCTCTTGCTGCTCTAGGATACTGTTCCTGTGTCAACTTGAGAAGTTGCAAGTTCAAGTGACTCAGATGGGGGCTGGGTCCTTACTTCGTAAATATACTGTGCCCGTGCGAGGAGATGGTGTGGGCATAAGGAACACCCCTCAGGATGGGTAGCCTGCATACAGTAAAAAAGAAATGAAGGACTCATTGCTAGTTCTTTGAAGGAGCTCCAGTCTTTGCCTTCAGCTTGGCTACAGTCACATGGCTTCGGGCGTAGACTGTTCAGCTTCTGCCTGGGACTCTTCAGTCTTCCAGCAGATTATTCAGCATTCTGTCACAGGCCCATCAGACTCTTGATAAGGATTTGCATGGGACACCGCAGTGAGCGCCAAGACCTTGGACTGGACACTTCATCCACCAGCGTGCAGAGAGTGCATGCTTCCTGGTTCAACTCTGTGGCTGACCATATAAGCCAATCTGGTAATTTCTTAAACATTTGTGTATCTTATGTTATAAATGTAAGGATCTGTTGGTCTCTGGGTAGTCCCTGGGAGAAAATGGCAAGAGGATTCAGAAAATAAGACAAGAGACAATAGCTGAGGTCAGGTGGTGGACCAAGCCTGACAGGAAATGCCTGAGGTCGAATCTAGCTTCACTGTTGTTGACTTCTCCAGATCTGGCTTCATGGTATAGTCTGACAGGACACTCTGGTACCCAAACAGGTTACTCATCATTTTCTGGAAAAAATACAAGCATATTCTCTACCCCAGATTAACTTTTTATTTTTGGTTTATCTGACTGCATTATCTTCCTGTTGCTGTACTTTCATCTTTTGTAAAATCTTAAAAATTTAATAGTACATACTGACAAGTAAAGTTGGAAGGATTGACCCTTTTGTTTTTGTAATTGAATTTGGACTGTACAGTGAGAAAGTTATACTTAATATTTTGGAAGAGGAAGCCGTAACTAGCTTATTTTATTTTTTTTGCGGAACTGGGGATTGAACTCAGGCCCTTAAGCTTGCCAGGCAAGCAGTTATTCCACTGAGCCATCTCCCCAGCCCCTTAGCTTCCTTTAATCTAATATGACCCATCTGCAAAAACAAGCAATTAATTTAACCTATCTGAAGGAGGACAACACCACCAGAGAAATTAGCCCAAAATCTAGATGGAGCCAATTAATACTGTCAAAGTCTTAAAATCATTTGGGGCTGATCTGAACAGTTCAGGGCACAAAATATCCTTGTTGAATAAGCTGACCCAAATATGAAGATGTTACCATAGCTTGTACTCCTCTGGAGACCACCACTAGGCCTATTATTTGAATGAGATGTCACAATTAAGCGACTATTTCAACCCCACTGCTTTTAGATTGTACTCTAAAACCTTTAACATCTGTAAAATATCAGCCTTTTTTAATACAAATTTTAATTTAGGACTGGAAAGCAGGCAATCAACTTTATTAGGAATCATGAGAACTTAAATCCTTTAAAATATCTCCATTATTGTAAAACTTAGGAAATATGATTGATTTTTTTTTTTTTTTGGTGTGGCCAGCTCAGCCCACCCTGGGAGTGGGGCTGGTGCGGCATGTGGTGCTGGGAATCAAACTGTGGTCCCTGCACGCTTGCCTAAGCAGGTGCTTTAGACCACTGAGCTATCTTGCAGGCCCCAATGATTTTTTTTTTTTTTTAAACTAAAGGCAAACTTCTTGAGGATGGAAACAGCTTTTTAATAACTTTAAGGGGACGTTATAAAGGGGTTCTTTTGTTGGTTTTTTTTAGTGTCAATTGTAATAGAGAACCATGTTTTTTTTTTTCTTTTTTGTGCTAGGATTCAAATCTATGACCTTGCATTGGGCAGGCAGGTGCTATGCCACAGCATTACATCCCAGCCCTATTTTCTGCTTTTCTGTGAGCCTCTATTTCTGCAGAATGACCTTCTGTATCCCTTCAAGTCAGCGATTCCCAGCACCTTTGTAGCTGCCCTATCCAGGACACCATATGTAGAGATTTGTTGGTCTCTGGGTAGTCTGTGGGAGAAAATGGGGAGAGGATTCAGAAAATAAAAGATGAGATAATAGCTGAGATCAGGTGGTAAACCAAGACTGATAGGCAAAGGCCCCCAGAATAGTAGGGGCTTTTATTTATACTTTTTTTTTTTTTTTTTTTTTTTGAATTGGAGATTGAACTCAGACCCTTGTGCTTGC